TCCAGAAGGTGTCTTGTTTAAAAAAAAAAAACAACAAATGGCATTCTTCAGAAATCGACAGTGATCTGCTTTCTGAAAGGAATCTGACATTAGGTTATGTGATGCTCCTATAAAAGATTGCTGCAGAGATCTGAAATCAACCACCTTCTTAGAGCATCAGAGCATCTGTGGATTGATTCTACCCCAGTAGTAGTCAGAACCTGCTTGAACCCACAAGCATTCTATAGCATCAGAGCAAAGGGGCCCATGCAGCAAGAGCTGAAACAGGTGGAAAGAGCAGAAGTTAATGAGATTACAAAACAGAAGAGGTCAGAAATAAAATATAAGATCATATGAGAAAATATTTAACAGTATCCTAATGTGAGGCTCAACAGCTGTATTATATTACATATTCAATTGTTTGCTTATTTTTGCCCCTCTTCAAATTCACATATACCTTCAAGTTCTCTCAGCCATCTATTAATATAGCCCATACTGCTTTTGATCTACATTTTCACAGGCCACATAAACCAAGAATGTAGGACCAGAACTGGCTGGGTTTTGTAGTAGAAACCACTGGAGGGAATAGGTGCCTGACTCAAGCATCTAGGTCTCATACCTCAGCTGTTCCAGGTACCTCTGTCTATCCTCCCTCCTCTTTGTTCCAGGAAATTGTATGCTCAGTTAGGGCTTTTGTAAGTCAACCTGACAGAAATTTGCCCATTTTGTGTGGTCAGTTTCCCAGATAGTCTGGGTACATACCATATAAAATGGACCTATGCACACAGATCATATTCCAACTTACATTCTCAACTGGATGTCCAGGGGACACTAGAAGCAGAATGAGTACTCATGAGAAGGCAGGGAAAGCACTATCTCATGTCCCACCATGTACATGGGGCATATCAGGGCCAGCTATTATCTCATCTGACTCAGCAGAGTAGCCAGAAATTTCTGAACAAGTACCAGCAAGTAACCAAATTCTATTGTCTAAATTCTTACTTCAAGGAAGAAACTACTGCTGTTGGAGTAGGGAAAGGGAGAATGGGTTTCTCAAGCAGCTTTTACTGCTCAGTGTGAGAGTAACAGATGCTTAAACTATGCTCTGTTTTGCTCCTGCCTACTGAAAGCGAATTTGTTGCTATGCAATTGCATGACAGTGATTATGAAAGTCTGTATGCATGGGTACATGTGAAACTGAAACCTTGAATACTACTACACAATCAACTCAGAGGAGTAACCATAGCAACAGACAGGCTGCTTCAAAAGGATAAGAAAGATGCAATAACATATCAGATATACTGTATTATAGAAAATAAAATTCAGAATGGTCTGACTGCCTATAGTGCATTTGCAAATTTTTCCTTTGATAGCTTAAATAATCAAATGGTCAATTATCTATTATTAGTAAAAGATAATTTGATATTATTACCAATAATAATAACAAGAAGAATTAAAATTAAAGTTTTAAGAATTAAACAATTATTTATTAATTTGTTCATTTTCAGTTTTACCCTGACAGGACTCTCTATGCAGCTAACACTATCAAGATACAAGTCAATATTACAATATTCAGGTAAAAGTATCTTGAAACCTACCACATGTCAGCCTCTCAAAACAAAAACACATGCAATGTTTTGTAGATTCTGAATCAGTAATTTAATAAAGTGATATTTCCTTTATAACTCTTCTAATTTGTAACCCAATAATCACCTCTACCATTCTTGTGCTAGTGTTTATCCATTAGGTCCACTGATGTTCATCTAGAATTTTTGTACTTTAGTTTTGTGAAGAGTAAGCACTTCAGTCATAACTGTGCCCCTACAATGCATTTGATGAAAGAGTCCAGGGAATATGGCTGCAACAGCGAAGCAAGAAGAAAATATACTATTATGGATGAAAGGCTTCAGGGAAGTGACACACTGAATACATACTAGATTCTGAAGATTGATGCACAACCAATCCTAACAGTAATAAAAACAGGGAATATTTCAGTACCCTAATGGTAAGAGCAGTGCCAGGATATACAGTAGTTCTGAGGGGAAACCACAGTGGATTACAAAGATGTGGAGTAGGGATGAAATCTCTCAGGCCAAACTAAAGGGCAGGAGCTCATGGAACAGAATTTTGAGGTTTTTTCTCCTTTTTTTTTACCTATCTCACCCTTACCATGGCCACCTTTGGACTATCAGAAACCCTTTTTAAATCTTCCATAGCTCTGATCCCTGATTGAGGTACCTATTGGTGTCTGCCTCACATTACAACCGTGACCATGCCATTGTGCCTCTTATTATTTTCATCACTTGGATGAAGTGAAGAAAGACCAAGTCTTCAGAAGCTGCTTGCTTGTCCAGCACCACCGAGCCACAGGCTTTTCCCTCTGATGCCACATTCTATATTGCCCCAACTCACAGACATTGTGTATTATTATTTTGTACCACGTTTTGAACCACAGCCTGAAAAACAAGATACAGATACTCTCATATTAGCATAATGATATAAACTCTTCTCAAGTATACTTTAATTAGCCCACAATCTTGCCTTTTCTTTTATATCTCACTAAAGTCAAAACATAAATTTTGTCATTCAGAGTGCAGTTCCTTTAATCTAGATTTAATAAGGCTGAGTTTCTCAGTATCTTTCTATTCTGCATTTATTAACAATGAGTACCATCTTCTTTATTTTTCACCTCACTGTGCTGAAGAAAGACTGATTGCGTATGGCATAAAATGACTGTAGGGAATGTCATTTATTTCAGTTTCACTGTCACTCTTTCCTATAGGCTCTCCTACCTATAAAGCCTCCATTTTCTTTTACTAATTGCATTTGTGGGGGTGTATTTGAGATATGCTAGACTTTAGTTATATAAGGTAAATGCTATGAATGTAGTGAGAAGTAATAAGATGCTAAATTAACCTGAGCAAAAGCTACCAAGCATTTCCTACTGCTTCTTGAAGAATTCAATTAGTTTGACAGATAGACTATGAAAAAGTGATTTTTCAGTATCAGAGAGATAAAACAAGAGTAAACCAAGTTGAGGTTCCTGAAAAAAATATGGGAGATCAAAAAAAAAAAAAATGGATGAGTTGTTGTTTGATAGACACCAAAAGAAATTAAAAGTTGCCAGTTTAGACAGGTGAACGATTCAGTGTTGTACTATGAGTCACTGTAAAACTCTTAATAGGAAGGATGTAGGGCAAGCAATAAACTAACCAGACGTCTCCAAAACTATCTCACAAGTTTAATTTGCCTTAAAAATATTCCTCAACAACACATTTCCATGTTATTATTGCAGTGTGTTATCTTTCCCTCCTCACATTTCCATCTTGCCTATCCTCAGGCAACAGTATAAATGACAGTCACCCTGTTTCATCCTTATGCCACTCAAAGGAGGTATGACGGGGTTAGGACACACTGCTTTATTGAAGTCCATCTAGCAAGTACAACTTCTTTGTATATTTTTAGCCCTTGTTTCTGAAATGTTCTTAGCCTAAGCCAACATACCTAATTTTGACTTAGATTATGGCTTTTGTGGCCATGTTATCTTTCACAGTACCATTGCAGTTGCAGCAAACCAAAAAGAAACACATTAATTTCACTATCACTCTTCCCTCACATCTCTAGGCATAATTTTCTTATATAATGTAATAGACAGGTTCTCTGCCATGTTCAGGGAAGGCAGGGAAGAATAGGAAGGGAGGAAGGAAAGGGAAGAAGGAAGGAGGAGGGAAAAAGTAGCACCAGCAAGCTGCGAAGTCAGAACTACAATTCCAGTGGTAACCCACCCCCCCACACACACACAACTTCAGCAGCACAATGAAACCCTAACTCTCCAATCTCCATCATCATCCAGTTAATGTTAGGCTTAATGTTAACTCCAGAAGTGTTAACCTTTACAATTTTTTCTGTCTTTCTATCTAAACTGTTTTAAGTACTGTACTGTACACCTGCACACATAGGTACAGATTCTCTCTCTCTCTCTGTCTCTCCAGTGCCGGTAGTTACTTTATTATTACTGGATGATGATGTTGATGATGATGCTGTATTGTGTTTAAGATGTTTTAGTGTATATGGGAGTGTTTCCTAAGTGTTTTATATGCTTTTAATATACATGTTCCAAATGACATACAAATTCAACTTGAGGACATTTTCAGGAACAGGATTTGTCCGTAACCCAAGAACTATCAGTACTGGAATCTCTACAACTTGCACTGACCTCTTTCCTTCTGAACAACTGGAAATTTGTTGAAAAGTCACTGCTACAACCTTGCAAGTCCCAGCATACAAAATGTCTCATCAAAGTGTCTCTCTGTTCACTGCACTACTCTGACTCTGCAGACCCTGGCAACATTGCAGAAGCAAAGCTGAAAGGCATCTTCACCAGAATGTTCTTTTACCAGCCTCAAGACTAGTATGACAGAGGGCAAAGTATCCAAATTCAAGATACTTAATATCTTAACTGCAATGATGTAATAAAATATCGAAGGTATATATTTGACAACTGGTAGAGATACACATTTATAGACAAAAGTACTGGTAATCCATAACTGGGCATTCCCCACAATATCACAAAGTATCTCCTTTCTTATAAATTAGAAAGAAACTTACATTTCTGGAAAGGGAGCATACTTCTCTGAGCAAATAACATTTTTTTCTAGATCTATATTTATAAAAGTCTTATAACCTAGCAAGCACTACAGCTGTGAATCATTTAAAAAGGTACAAGAGTACGGATATCAGAGGCTGTGTCAAACTGTGATCTTACCCCGATATCATTTACTGCAATATAAGCAGAACCATTATAACAGTTCCTTTTACAACGGCCTGCTTTTTCAAAAACTTGCAAAAGTGTACTTTTCCTATCAACAGCATTAAAAGGTTAGTAACAGTAAAGCTTACAGAGTCTTTTAAAAGCCAGGAAAGAGACTCAATCGACAATCTATATTTACAAAATAGTCAGAATAGCTATAATACAAAAATAGCAGCATGCCAGCCTATTCCTGATACTATCATAAACTCACTTGCTGATTTCTTTGAAGTTTGAGTTTCATTGCCTGGCATGTCTCAATGATTCGAAGAAGTTCAGGACATGGAATGGTTACTTCAGGTGCAGTTTCTTCAGTACTGAGAAAAGAGCTGTATGCAAATATAATGCATTAATATTTTTTACAGATGTTTAACTCAATAGATCACTTTTTTCAGCCAGTGAGGTGACTGCTGTACTTCTAAAACTTTTAAGATGATGCTGTATTATAAAGCAATATGATGAATTATAAGATCGTGTTTAAATATTCATGTTGATTTTGCAGCAGTGAAGTAGACATTCAAACACAACCCCAAAACCTTTCATATAAAGCCAGAATAGGTAAGATAAAAATAGATTATGATAGCATGTTTCCAAAACACATCATTCAAGTATTTCCTTGAACCTTTACAACATTTGTGTGTTTCCCTTTAATTCTAGACACTTTTTTCCAAATACGTGCTAGTATACCCATTTGAACCAGGTTCTCCAGTGCTTTAAAGAATGTTAACCTCAGCCAGAGCCTTAAGACAGCAGTTTCCACAGATGAACACGCACACACACAGAGGGGAGTGAACAATTCCCTATCACCACTGAGCTGCACCTTTTCTTCAGCCACAAGACAAACAACACACTGCACTGTATGTGTATAACTCTTTGGAGTGGTTCCCCAATCCACAGGAGTAGTTTTTTTCCCCCCAGAGAACAAGAAGGGCTGAAAAGGTTATAGTGTGGACGCAGAACACCATATAACAACTTTGGCATTCCAGTTCTGTATCTCTGCATTGCAGAGTGGGAACATGATTATTATTAACCTTTGTTCTCTTTAGACACTCTAGCAAAGCAAAGCTTGAAAATGTCAAACAGATTAAGAACTGGGATGCAAAAGTCAAACTACTCACCAGCTAGTTTCAGATATTCAGTAAGCTGTGTACTTATTTGTATTTTAAAGGGAAAAACACACTAGAGTTTGAATTTAAATTTGAATCCCCCTTCTTTTTCTCTCTTCCCTCCTCTTATTTTGTAGAAAGTGCTTCTGACACATAGAGAAATGGCCCTAAAAATCCTGGAACCTTGATAATTTAATAAGCACCACTTTCTCCCATACAAATTTGACTGCTTCTCTCATCTGTCAGCTAAGCATTCCCTTGTCTACAGATGCTAGATGGATGGGTTTTTACTTAATTTTATCATAGTATTTTTATTCATTATATTTGAATAAACCAGGGGTCCTCAAACTTTTTCAGCAGGGGGGAAGTTCACTGTCTCTCAGACTGTTGAGGGGCTGGACTATAGTTTTAAGAAAATAATGAATGAATTCCTATGTACACTGCACATAAAAAATAATTAAATTAAAATATATTTAAAATTAAAATATACTTAAAATTAATTAAAATTAAAATATATTTAAAAATTAAAATAAATTTTAAAAAATAATTGACATTTAATAATTAATTAACATTTAAATATTAATTTAACATTAAAAAATGTTTGCTCATTTGCTCAGAGAAGGTCATGGCGGAAGTGCAGGAACCCTGCAGCTTTCTCCAAGTAAGCTTTCTCTGCCACGGCTTTCCCCATGTAAGCTGCTCCACCTCAGCTTGTCCGCCCCGGGCTCGACAAGGTGGCGGTGGTGGCTTCCTTGCATGGAGAAAACTGCACAGCCTGGCTGCCACCAGGCTCGGCGAGGCAGTGGCAGGCGTGGGCGCAGGCCCGGCGAGGCGGCAGTGGGCCCGGTGAGGTGGCAGCTTGCTCTCTTGGAGAACGCTGTGCGGCCTGGCCACCCCCTGGCTCACATAATTAAAAATAGATTTTAAAAGTTATATTTTTGTTACCTTCAATCCTTTCTTTGTCTTCATCTTCATCTCTCTTCCTCTTCTGCCTGCCTCTCTTCTGTTTCCCGCTTCGTATTCCCACTCTGTATATGCAGGCCATGGTGGTGGGGAGGGGCGGCGCACACGCAGTTTCGCTGTTACAATTTGGCACATGCACTGGCTCTCTCTCTCTGCTCAGTTTTAAAGAATGCTTGCACCGGCTCAGAGCTTTTCGACTCACTCGGAAATTGTTTTCTCTGGATGAGTCCAAAACCTCTGAGGCGGGCTGGATAAATGGGTATTGCGGGCTGTATCCGGCCCAAGGGCTGTAGTTTGAGGACCCATGGAATAAACATTCAAATTTGCAAATGTGCACTTGACTTCCTTTTCCTAAATGAAGAACTTTGCACATAACTTTACACAAATGCATGGATCCTTGTCAGATATTGCTGACAAAAAGCAATATATGCAGTTGCAAGATATATCTGCAATTTGCCAGCAATTCCTGACAAAGCAATAATCATATCAATTATGATTAACCCAGTAATCTCAAACATTCATCTGATTCTCAATCCAGTAATCTCAAGCCTCTCAAGCATCCTCCAAAGAAAAAACCAGAATAAATGGACCTTGGTACTACAGTAATTTTAGTATTAATAATTTTAATTAAAATTAAGGAATCTGACAAGCCATAGCTTAAGTTATTACCATTTCAGTAACATCCTACCTCACCGGAATGGGAGTTGTAGCTACCAAAACCCATGTAACCAGCATACCTTTTTTAAAGGACCTCTTACTTGTTTGTTTGTTTGGAGTGCTTGTATGCCGCCCCATTCACAGAAGCCTCGGGGCGGCTTCCAACAAATAAATAACAATATACAGAAATATACAGAATTGGAAACATCCTGGAGTTAGATAAAAGCAATAAATAATTTAACAATCAATTAAAACAACATTTAAATAAAAAGGTCATAATCCTCTTAACATTCAACATATGGCAGTCACTATTTTATTCACGGTGGCTACTTCCATAGCTGTGTCAGTGAGAGTAGAAATCATGTCCCTCCACTGCTTACCTAAGCTTGTCAGTAAGACCTTCCAAAGAAGTGTTTAAGTCCAGCATAACAGCAGCTCGAAAGCGTAATCCCTCTGTAAGTAGTACCACCTGTGGAGAAAAATTCAAATTCTGAAAAGTTTTACTTTAGTGCAAATAATCTTTTTTATTATTGAAATAGCATGCTATCAACATCCAGGAAAAGAAGGGGGGGGAAAAGGTTTAAGTAGAAGATGTGAATCCACCATACAGTGGGGACAGCTGCATCTAGACCTAGCTCATTGTTTTCTATGGCCCTTTATGCTACCTGTAGATACTCAACCTTTCAGCTATGCACGGCAGTATTTCCTAAAGAATACCTGCTAAAAGCCATAACTCCTCTGCTTTTTCTTTCTCTCACTTACGGAAGGTAAACTAAAACATGTCCTGCTTATATATCACCAACGGTTTCCGGCCTCTGCAAACAGCAATCACCCAAGTGGAGCATTGCTGAGGAATCTGCCAATGTAATGAACTTGAATCAAGCATTTTAATTTACTAGAAATAACTGGAGGGGATGGGAAAAACATGTCAAGGTGCTGGTCTTGTTGGTGCCCTCCTAATCTCCACCACACTTGGTTCCAACTTCAGTAGACTACTTTAAAAAAGATTAAAATGAGTGAAAGGAATATCTTCAAACATTTCTATAAATTACTGTCTACAAAGACAGTGTTTGAACATAATAAATTACAGCATATACCTAGAAAATAAATATTGAACCCAAGATGCACCACCAAAACATGAAAAGGTACAATCCTGGTTGGTTCTAGAACTCAGTTAAAGTTTCAATAAGGGCTACAAATGCTCTATGAAGCAGACAGATTTCCTCACATGCAATAGTATTTCCCACCACTATTGCCAACAATGGAAAAGAATCAATGTAAACTGATTCATCTCTGCCTTATGGTTATTTCTGTGCAGCTTCACTGGACCTTCCTCCACCGGCCCTTCCTTCACCATGGGCCTTGTTTACATATCTTCCTTTTAATCTTTCACATCCTCTGTGAAACTTTCAAACAATCTTTCACATAAAATTCAACTCAGGTATTCTGTCGATGTTTATCATTTTACCTGCCTTTCCAGCTGTAGTACTTGAGCCTTTAGAAGACTGACACGTTTTTCATCAAAACATTCATTCTTTCCTTCTTCTATAAGCTGTTCATATTGGCTTCTAAAAATAAAATACACTTTCTCAAATTTATAAAGAGTATCAAAACTTCACATGATGCTATATTGATTTTTTTGTTGCTACAATTCATTGAAATTATGAGAAGTGATGTTAAATGAGGGGGAAAAATCCATCTCCTCCTTTTAACTGATCACTCAGAACTCCTGTTATTTTTCTGGAAATTGCCTCTGGTATCTTTACTGCACTATAAATAAACTACTAGTTTGCATAACCTGGATGTTCCTTAACAACCTGCTAATTTCTTACCACATCCTTGGGGGTGCAACTCTGAGTATGCAAATAGCAACAACATCATTCCTTTAGTACATTTTGGAAGTGAACTAAAAAGCAACCCCATTTCAATTAGAGACTGCCTTGGTTGCCCTGTGGGATGACTTTTGCTGGAAGAGTGACAGGCGAGTACAACCCTGTTGATTCTCCTGGATCTCCCTCAGCTTTTGATACCATCAACCATGGTATCCCTCTAGATAGGCTAGTCAAGTTAGGGGTAGGAGGTACTGCTTTGTGGTGGTTCTGCTCTTACCTGGCTGACCAATTCCAGAAGGTGATGCTGGGCAATTATTACTCTGTACCATGTTAGTTATATCACGGGGTACTAAAAGGGGCTATTTTATCCCCCATGTTCTTTAATATCTACATGAAGGGGGAGTTTTTTAACTGCTTTTATAATTTTATTCTGTTTTAATCTGTTTTATGGAGTCGTCCCTGGCCATGTCGACGTTTATGTTTCCTGGGGAGCGCGCAGGCGCCGCCATTGGCGTGGTCTTAGGAAATGGACGTAACAGCGGTGGGGGCTTAACGTGTCCGTGTAGAAGGAGGAGGGACAGATGGCTGACACCTATCCCTCCTTCTGGTTTTGCCCCCAGCCAGAGGATGCCAGGTAGTCTTGTCAACCTCCCCTCGGGCCTGACGGTGCTGCTGCTCAATGCCAGGTCGGTCAATAACAAATCTTCCCTCATCCATGACTTCATTGTGGATGAGGGGGCCGACCTGGCTGGCATAACGGAGACCTGGGTGGGAGGGGGGGATGTTGCCCTCTCTCAACTGTGCCCGCCCTGGTATCTCGTTCAGCACTGTTCACGCCCAGAGGGGAGGGGAGGGGGAGTCGCTTTGGTTTACCGAGCCTCCATCTCTCTCACGGGACTTCCGGTCCCTTCAAGACCAGGGCTGGAGGGCCTCTGCTTGGTGTTGGGCGACCGAGACAGACTGGGGATTCTGCTGGTGTACCGTGCACCCTTCTGCCCAACAGTCTCCCTGCCTGAGCTGACGGAGACCGTCTCGGACCTGGTGTTGAGGACCCCCAAGATGTTGGTCCTGGCGGACTTCAATCTCCATGCCGAGTCTGGTCTGATCGGGGCGGCTCAGGACTTCATGGCCTCCATGATGGCCATGGGGCTGTCTCAACATGTCTCCGGCCCGACCCATGAACGTGGACACACTCTGGACCTGGTTTTCTCAACGGGGCAGGACGAGGGTGACCTGAGGGTGAGAAATTTATGTTTGACTCCCCTGTCATGGTCAGATCACCTCCTGGTGAGGTTTGTGCTCGAGAGCGGCCTCTCCCTCTGTAAGGGTGCGGATCCGATTGTGTGGGTCTGCCCCCGGAGCCGGATGGATCCGGATGGATTCCTGAAGGCCCTGGGGGAGTTTCCGGCTGACAAGTCTGGTGTTCCTGTCGAGGCTCTGGTCGAACTGTGGAACGGGGAGATGACCAGGGCTGTGGACACGATCGCTCCTAAGTGTCCTCTCCCACCGGGCAGAGCCCACTCTTCCCCTTGGTATACACCTGAATTGCGGGCGATGAAGCAGGTTGGGAGACGGCTAGAGCATAGGTGGAGGAAATCACGGGATGAATCTGACCGAACACACTTGAGAGCCCACTATCAGGCCTATGCTGTGGCAGTGAGGGCAGCGAAAAAGAAGTTTTTTCCGCTTCCATTGCCTCCTCACAGTGCCATCCAGCAGAGCTTTTTTGAGTGATGCAAGGCCTGGTTCGCCCGGGTCCTAAGGAAGATCCGGTTCCACCCTCAAAGGCCCGCTGTGACGACTTTGCCAGGCATTTCAGGGAGAAAATCGCTCAGATTCGTCACAAGCTGGACACCACTAATGAATCAGAGGTTTCTGGGGAGAAGCCAATGCTGCCGTCTAGTCCAGAATTATTGGATGAATTTCAGTTATTGCAGCCCGATGATGTGGACAAGGTGCTTGGACGAGTACGTCCCACCACTTACCTATTGGACCCTTGCCCGTCTTGGTTAATAAATAATTCCAAGCATGGGATTGGGATCTGGATCTTGGAAGTGGTTAACGCTTCTCTGAGGGAGGGTCGGGTGCCTGCCCCTTTAAAGGAGGCAGTAGTCTGACCGGTCCTGAAGAAAGCATCACTGGATCCAGAGATGGCCACTAACTATAGACCAGTGGCCAACATCCCGTTTCTGGGCAAGGTGTTAGAGCGGGTGGTGGCGGGACAACTCCAAGCACTATTGGATGAAACTGATTATCTGGACCCATTTCAGTCCGGCTTCAGACGCGGGTACGGTACTGAATCTGCCTTGGTCGCCCTGTACGATGACCTGTGCAGGAAGGAGGACAGGGGGAGTGCGTCCCTGTTGGTTCTCCTGGACCTCTCAGCGGCTTTCGATACCATCGACCATGGTATCCTTCTGGATAGGCTAGCGGGATTGGGGGTCGGAGGCACTGCTTTGCAGTGGTTCCGCTCCTATCTCAATGGCCGTTTCCAGAAGGTGGTGCTGGGGGACTATGGCTCTGCGCCATGGCAGCTATGCCATGGAGTACCACAGGGGTCCATTTTGTCCCCTTTGCTGTTTAACATCTACATGAAACCACTGGGAGAGGTCCATTAGGAGGTGTGGGCTGTGGAATCATCAGTATGCTGATGATACCCAGCTCTACCTCTCGTTTTCCACTAATCCAGGTGAGGCAGTGGCTGTGCTGAACCGGTGCCTGGCCGAGGTAATGGGCTGGATGAGGGCCAATAAACTGAAGCTCAATCCAGACAAGACGGAGGTCCTGTTGGTTGGCGGATCGGGTTTCGGAGAGGGTGGATTTGACCTGGTCCTGAATGGGGTTGCACTCCCTCTTAGGGACAAGGTCCGCAGCTTAGCAGTGCTCCTCGACCCGGAGCTTTCATTGGAAGCTCAGGTGACAGCAGTGGCGAGGAGCGCTTTCCTTCAGCTTCGGCTGATTAATCAGCTGCGCCCCTACCTGGAGTACGACTGCCTGGCAACGGTGACACACGTGCTGGTGACTTCCCGCCTTGACTTCTGCAACGCGCTTTATGTGGGGCTTCCCTTGAAGACGGTCCGAATACTTCAGTTGGTTCAAAATAGAGCTGCCAGGTTGGTGACAGGGATGGGGCGTTATGTTCACATGACTCCAGTCCTCCGTCAGCTTCACTGGCTTCCCATTGAAGTCCGGGCCCAATTCAAGGTGTTGGTGATGACCTATAAAGCCCTAAACGGCTTGGATCCTGGTTACCTGAAGGAGCACTTACACCCACATATGCCCGGCCGCCCCTTGAGATCTGCGGGAGAGGCCCTTCTCCGGGAACCCTCCATGAAAGAAATTAGGAGGGTAGATACTCAGAGGAGGGCTTTCCCTGCGGTGGCACCCAATCTATGGAATGCGCTCCCCAGAGAGGTCCGCCTGGCGCCGTCGTTATTTGTTTTTCGGCGCCAGGTGAAGACCTTTTTATTTAAACGTCATTTTAATTGTTAACAATATTTGCTTATTTATCTGGCCAGGGCGACTTCTTTTACATTGTTATTTATTTTATATTGTTAATTTTATATTGTTATTTTTGTATTTTATTGTATTTTATTGTGTTGTAAGCCGCTCCGAGGCTT